TACATTTATCTCATCTAATTTAAGCTCTGCAATATTCATCAAATCTTTCAATCTATTGGCAAACTTAGTTCTGATATATTCACTCATTCAATTAGTATATCTTCAATTACTCCATATTCATGATATCTTTAAGTCAAAACGACAATTTTCTATAAAACTAATTCGAGTATGTAAAAACTTTGCATAAATTGATGTTAAAATCATTTAAGGTTGTGAACAGTCGGTTAGAAACCACGAAGTGAAATGGACTCAGGCTATGCAGCTAAATTTGATGATTTCCATTTCTATAAATTTGTGTAGGGGAAGAATTTTAGGAAGCATCAAGAAATTTGATCAACTAGAGGTCTGAAACAACTAGTCAACATTTCTGGGGACCTTCCGAATCCTGCATGCAATGTAGAGTCACACACTTCCTCAAAATCAATAGCCTAGGGTTCGACAACATTCGACATTCACGCTGACCTTGATAGTTTAACTGGACTCGCTAAGCTGAAGGCACCCGGTCAAGCATCCTGGCCATTTGGCACGCTGTCGTGTTACGTTGCATTGCTCGTATTCGACTCTCTAGCCAGTTAGTTGGAACGCATCGGTATCTTGGCACAACCACCCAAATGTACTATTCCATCCGACTACGCTATCCTGTTCTTCCTTGGTCTCGTATTCGTGGGTATATAACAAGTTCGAATAATTAGTGATTGGTCTTTGCGTCTGTCAAGTTCGCACAAGGACAAATCCTAAAGCAACATAACTCAATCTCTAACTCATGAATGGTTATTCCACTTACGTTCAGAGATATATTATCCACATTCTGTTGTAAATTTGATGTCTCTTGATGCCACATCAAATATTTTTACTATCCATTTCAATCTATTTATTCCATCAATATCCATGTATTATCGTCATGGCCATTACAATGGCCTACAAACGCTCTATGTTCGGAGTTTGAACAGCGATTTGACTAATTTATTAATCCTCCTATTCACTGGTTACTAAAACCTAACCAGTAGTATCGTACGGTCACTTCAAACATTTTAACCATTGTAGTGCATGCATACTTTTCATCATAAAACTATAGAATATAAAGGTTAGACCTGATACAAATTTGACAAAAAATACAGATCCTCTCAAATTTACATCTCAGAGAACGAATCGGAAGTGATGAGAGACTTGATTGACACGATGTGTGTTGTGATATTGTCATTCATGCACATTTGAATGATGTATGGAATTTCCTGCACACTGTCGCTTGAAGTGTGGATAGTGTTCACCTCTGTGGCATCTAACTGACTTGTGAGAAATTCCAAACTACTAATAAAATGCATCAGCTTCATGTGACAAATCAATACTCAAAGCATCATCATTCCATCGACATGAAGAGAATCGCACACATCAGACTTCTTCCCAGCAGATACTTCTTCGTCACATTTTACTCATTTGTGATGGATAGATGCGCTGATTTATAGTGCTTCAATGAGTGTAGGACTAAACATAGCAAACACACGTGAGCGTCTCTGCAATACCACTGTCGAGAGTTCGGGTTGCGAAATGGGAATTATATTGAAATACGTGAGATAAAATTTGTAACTCATATAGAACGGAAGTAATTTGGTTATGCACAATCGAATTGGTAACAGATTGCATGACGTGAGTGGGTATTCACATTCGACTGAATGTGTTCTCTCGGTTTGAAGGTGATACGTAAACTAGGTGCAGTGGGATAGGAGATTGGCAAGTGTAGAAGCGAAGATGGTGTGCAATTTACTTCAATTAACATCACCGACAATTATTCCTCTACATTGAAACCGGTGTAGTGAAACACGTGAATAACTCAAGTTCGACAGCATCACACTACTATATGAATGCTGGTCCAATGAACCTGATCTCTTTCATGTGGTAATTCACAGTCGTACACGAATTTCCTACATTCGCCTGAATGGTTGACTGAAGTGTTGGTGTGTAAACGCTGAAACTCTCTACCTCAATTCCAACAAGGATTTCGAATAGTCAGTTGCACATCACTGTGCGAGCTGATAGTTGGTTTGAATATACGACAGGACTGCCAGTATCATCATCATCATCATTACTTGAACGGGTGTATTCATTGGAACCTTGTAAATATTCGAAACCTCAGATGAAAACACCATTCCATGAAGTAGTGTTCGGCACCTCATCAATCCAACTCACCATGCTTGCGATTCACACAAGAGATGGACACAAGAGTGTATATAATCACTCAGTTCTTACTGTACAACTACACCGACACACTGAAAATCCACTGCTCAGTTACCCTCTTATCACTGCCAGTCATCACATTAATCAACAACTTACTCAGTGACTGCAACTAAGGTGTTCACCTGCTATTCCACACTCGTGGACTAAGTCATTTTTCAATCAGGTGGTGGGCCACTGCAGCTAACAGTGAAATATCCAACACTGAGGTGTGTTGAAGTACATAACACAACGGCGTCACGACTAGCTTATCCAGACACATTGACCAGTTTCATTCGGAAAAGAGTTCAGAGATAAGCAGATGTTCTAATATTACAGTCCGAAAATCACGTACCTAATCAACCAATGTTTCGCCGATATCGTTTACGTTGCATGTCATATGGCAATTCTCAGTAGCATACTGCTTTGCATATGCAGTCGCCTCATATGTGGACGCATTTAAACATTTGAATGGACAGAATGAGTAGGCAACTGAGCGATGATGAAATAACACGTGGGTCGAGAGTGAAGGCATCAATCTAGCTGACTCGATGTCGATGATCATGAATTGTTTCGCATTGTCGGTACCTGAGTGAGGTATGTTGTAGAAGATCCAGTTGCATTTGGACCGCGCCTAAAGTCCCCTGTCTCAATGTTATGATTTAGCTATGACTATGGCTGCTAACGATGCACGCATATCGAGTGTCAGCCACCGACGTTCAACAAATTCCTAGTTGACTCCCGACCTGACTCATTAATGGAGAATACACAATCCACGTGTACAAACGTGTATTTGGGGTCGAAAGAAAGACTACCAAAAGAAAACGAGAATATACCTAATATAGATAGTTCGCTGTTTAAAATAAAAATATTGATTGCCCAATCCACTGTCTTTCTGTCTAACTGAAGACGAGATGACAAAATACATTTTGATTGGTCTCTCTCCAGACTAGGCTTTTCTCCTCATCCCCATATCACTCAATGAATGTAAACAGATGTGTTGTTCATGTTCCAGGCGTTCTCCCAAATCCGAACACTAAGTCACTGCGCATATGTGATCATCGAGACGAGAATTTACGACGACATCCACTGTCTCTTCATTGCTAACGCTGCAGCCAACCTGTGTGCAATGTCACAAAAAGAGATGACAACCACCGTAACATTGAACACCGCTTCACTAACTCCAATTCCAATCAGAAGTATGCCATTTCGTACAACGACCTGTCCTCATCATGCCACTCATCATTGTCAACAACACGCAACACTTCAATACAACACATTGCTCTACAAATATAAGCCTATCAAACAAGCATTGTTCCTATTCGTTCCGTTGTCAAGGAACACATATAGCACAGTACTCACTTCTAGAATCTTGATCGTGTGATACATACGACGAGATTTATTCCTCTGAACCTCCCTCCCTCCCTCTCAGACTGCCTCCAGTTAAACCCTATTCACGCAACACCACACTTCATATGATTCGTGGCTCCACTGTGAATTACGATACTCACATTCATGGCTTCCAGTATAATCGGAATGTTACTCAGCATGCTAGGCACACCCATCTCGGTCACACTCTCTTCATTACTTCAATGTCTGCAATGATATCCCAGTGTATAGAGAAGGACATGCAGTGTGTTGGTCAGCGTATATCAAAAGCCAGGCGGTTATCTTCACTGAGTGACATTTAGTGTGGACTCACTGCCATTCACTAACAATGAACGCGAACAAGTAGAAGAGCAGTCACCGACACTACGTAAATTCAATGGTTCCAATACACAAGATGACCTCTACAAGACACAGGATTTTGTAATGGTCTCTGGAGGAGTGGTGATGAGTTTGCGGACACATATGCATTGGTGGTTAAATGCCACTGGCACATCAACACGCTACTTCATATTCACTGGCTAGACCACTTCCATTGTAAGAGTCAACGAATGAATAAAACCTAGATTACATACTTCTTGATTAGAAATACAAAATGAATGACAACCATCTCGTGGCATGCCCAATCATATACAGAACACAACCTCAAAAACAGATATACACCGTTGCATAGAACCAACCGCAAAGTTTCACATTGAAGTGTTATACCACTCTGGTAGACCTTGAAACCATACCGTTGGGTGTAAGAGGCACAGAACACGGGCTCAGTGCTGCGTACAAACAACGTCCTGCCAAAAACACAAATTATCTAAAACATGGTGCTCAACGAGGGATCCGCATCAGTCCATGATGAATACTACCTTAAAATCATAATCCCCACATTGAACCACTGCTAATGTATACAAGGATATGACAGGAATGTTGTGGAAAACAATTCTCACAAAAGAAAACGATATCAGTGAGTCATTCAAAGGTGTATCTCAAGCACCTCTGTACTAAACAAGGACAAATTCTTCCCAGGATGGTTGATAAAATGAACAGGTTTGCACTTCATTTTACACTCAATAGTGAATATTGGTTAACAAGTAAGTCATACAGCACACACCCTGAAAAGCAATGCAGGATGCTCAAATATTCTTTATTGTAATTCAAAGCAAAACACTCAACACCGACCCACTTTGACGAAATATACACATTTCAACCACTAGTGGCAAATCTCTACGCTGAACACCCGACCCATAGCTGCTAACTTCGACTCGTATATTACAATGAACCAACGAAATATCATGGTAGAACACTAACAGAAAGGTCTGTTGGATAGTGGTTAGACAAAAGGCAGTCACCATTGCAGTGTAAATCAGTGCGCTGGGATGGGGTCCTGATGGTAAAGTCGTACTGCTGACTGGATGCAAGTGTGACAGCAGTTAGGTGTTCCCCCCGCATCACCAGCAATACCACGCCGATGCTACCTTCCCTATAGATACGGCGATAGGTTACAAAAGATCGGCCTCAAAAATACCATCCTACCACCACCACCACCCCATAGCCTCCAACAGGGATTCATCATAATGACATACTATACGCCTTCTCGTAATACTCCGACACATGTAGTCAGAGAAGGATGCACCATTGTCAGTGTGTATCAAATGAGGAATATCTAGTTACTAAATGAACAGAAGTCGTGTCTCCAATTGACTCGTTCGAAAGAGAACTGCACAAGTACAGAGACCAACTGCAAAACGATCCACACAAACCCACAACCCTCTATTCTCAAACAACAAATCTGAATCTCATTCAAAAGCAAAACACAAAGCCTTAAACTTCCCAAAAGGCTCTGTGCGTGTGTGCATGACCGGCCTCAAGTAGATGTCTCGTCCACCCTGTGGTCGACTACTAAATCTTCTTTTGAATGCATTTCAAGAAAAACCTAACCTTCCACGCTGGAGACAGCCGGTAAGAATCAAGAGTACCTCGGAGAAAACCACATAACATGCCTTAAATAGCATCCACAAATACTGTACTGTGCACTTTGTTGTTGCGCTTAAAACAAAATCTCCCACAACCACTCATTCCTAACTCATCTAAACAACCTAAAATACAAGTGGCAGTCAATACCATGAGGCTCTGCTAGGGTAAACAATCAGTAAGAATATCAATCACCCTCAAAGAAACTACACTCTGCTTTCATATGACTGAACATCACAACTCTGTACAGTGTAACGCAAGAACAAAACAAACTGAAGACATTCTAACCAGATTAAATTTAACCAATATACCGATTTATAACAAAAAGAAACAAAGAATAAGTGCAGTTTATGCATCCTCAACATCCTCCTCAAACTCCCCCTCTTCTTCAGCGGTTGCATCTTGGTATTGTTGATATTCACTCACCAAATCATTCATATTCGACTCAGCCTCAGTGAACTCCATCTCATCCATGCCTTCACCTGTGTACCAATGCAAAAAGGCTTTACGACGGAACATAGCAGTAAACTGTTCAGAAACACGCTTGAACAACTCCTGAATAGCCGTGCTATTACCAATGAACGTCACAGACATCTTCAATCCACGTGGCGGAATGTCACAAACGGCTGTCTTCACATTATTCGGAATCCACTCAACGAAATAGCTAGAATTCTTATTCTGCACATTCAACATCTGCTCGTCTACTTCTCTCATCGACATACGACCACGGAAGATGGCAGCCACAGTCAAATAACGTCCATGTCGAGGATCACACGCAGCCATCATGTTCTTTGCATCAAACATTTGCTGAGTCAGTTCAGGCACAGTTAATGAACGGTATTGCTGGCTTCCACGACTAGTCAGTGGTGCAAAACCAGGCATGAAGAAGTGCAGACGTGGGAATGGAACCATGTTCACTGCCAGCTTACGCAGATCTGCATTCAACTGACCAGGGAATCTCAAGCACGTTGTCACTCCAGACATCGTCGCACTGACCAAGTGGTTCAAATCACCATAAGTAGGAGTCGTAAGCTTCAACGTCCTAAAGCATATATCATAGAGTGCTTCGTTGTCAATGCAGAACGTTTCATCCGTGTTCTCAACGAGTTGATGCACGGAGAGGGTAGCATTGTATGGTTCCACAACCGTATCCGAGACCTACAATACAAAAAGACAATGCATTCTTTAGCATGGAATAATTAATTCACTTCGACTCAATTATCACGACTGTAAACGTTCCCGATAGTTGGCAAATAAATCAAAATATGGAAGACAACATAGATTCGAATACACGCTGAGGTTTAGCTATCACTGGTCACGAAAACAACACACACGACTGGGCAGTCAACAAAGACCGGTCAACAACACTGTTAGTTGGTCGCGCTCATTCCCGTGCTTTTGTTATGTAAACCACACTCACAAATCCACCATTACAAACTCTGACTTCATGTAATTCAGTCAACGTTTGGACTTCTGTCCTCTTCAGGTTTGAGGTTGCTTTCTATAAACGCTTTCTTTCGGGATGCAAACAAAACAAACAACCTGTAAGGTTCGGCTTCCTAGCCACACTACATACTCGACCCGATTGCAAGTTCCCAGTCGACTAACGTAAGCGATGTGATGCATCTTCATCCTGGTTCCACAAAGTCTGTACCGCATCCACACCAAGCGTAGCAGTTAAACCTGCTTCTCCTCGGTTGTGACTTTGACGTAAATAAACCTCGTCAGTCCAATTTCAGGAAGCTGTCGAAATGTTATTGACCAAAAAAACACTCGTTTGGTAAACACAACTGCTAGTCAAATGCGACATCAAATGGTAATCCACCAAATGTTATTCCTAATTCGTCCGATATGAGAACTAATGATGCACTACCGCATACTAGCGATTTAACCGACATCGAATTCTCTCCTTCCTTGGTGACGGAGGAAATGACCAGTAATCCAGAGAAATCTAGTCCGTCCAAAATTGAATGCCTAACGGACTACTACAATAAAGTCTTCTCTGTAGATCGTGTTGGTGAAATCCTCTACAGTCCTGTCAGAAATGCCTCATCAGTGAATACACTGCTGATAACAGAAAGACAGTCCTCCAGTGGCACACCACTCCTAAAGTCCGGAAAACACCCGGCTCCAGCTCAATGAGTTGTACACCAGATTGATTCCCACCTTTCCCATTGCATATTGGCGAGAATCTTTTCAATACGTCTTGCCTCAGACACTGGAAACGCCCCCACGCCTCACCTCTTTTTAAGACCGCTCGTCGCCAGTTGATGCCTAACAATCACCCACTGAGTATAACTAGCATAGCTATATAACTTTGAGCAGAAACAACAACTTGTAACAACAAACTCAATCATTCCATGCCAAGTGAAGTATGCTGACGCACTCCAGCATCTTCAAATGCTAGCAACTCAGTTTGCAACAGACACTTCGAATCTCCCCTATGAAGAACGATCACATCGGCGTCACTTACTTACCTTCTCGGAAAGTAGGAAGAACCGGGATCTCATACCAGCATTCCCTATTCATCACAACAATGTGAAAATATAATGATCCTACTACAAAACTACGTAAAAACCAGTTAACTACTACCCCATGAACTCCTAATGAATCGACTCAATATCTACTTACTTTGGGTGATGGAACAACAGAAAATGTATTCATTATCCGGTCAGGATATTCTTCACGAATCTTTGATATCAACAGCGTACCCATACCGGAACCAGTCCCACCACCAAGTGAATGAGTAAGCTGGAAACCTTGAAGACAGTCACACGACTCAGCTTCCTTCCTCACAACATCAAGAACAGAATCAACAAGCTCAGCACCTTCTGTGTAGTGACCTTTAGCCCAATTGTTTCCCGCTCCACTTTGACCGAAAACAAAGTTGTCGGGGCGGAAAAGTTGTCCAAATGGTCCCGCACGAACGCTGTCCATAGTCCCTGGCTCCAGATCAACCAATATAGCACGAGGCACATACTTCCCTCCACTAGCCTCATTGTAGTAAACGTTGATCCGCTCAAGTTGCAGGTCAGAATCCCCATGGTACGTACCTGTAGGATCTATTCCATGCTCATCTGATATCACTTCCCAAAACTACAAATAGAAACAAAGAAGTAGTCAAATAGTTAAACGGAGCATGAAACGAGTGTTGAACACGACGACACCGAGTACTACTTCAACTTTAACGTACCTTCGCACCTATCTGGTTGCCACACTGGCCAGCTTGGATATGTACGATCTCACGCATATTCGTCTGCTTAGCTAGATTGAATGAGTGACCGATGCTAGGCTGAAATCTCGTCTCACATAGCTGTTTCATTCGCCCTTGAAAAGTCGGCAGAACATCCAGATAGAACGAATCAGAATAATACACTACGTTTCCTACCCCCATTCCTCATTTTCTATTGGCTGGCTGTATATGTCATACATGATATTGAAAATAAGAAATGAAACTCAGTCTGGCTAACACAAAATATACAAAACAAAGAAACAGCCTTCAGATTTTTTAGGTCAGATAATCGATACATTTGGCTGCATGTGTGTGTTTGTCTTGGAGACTGGTTAGGCGAAAATCTGCTCTGATCGTTTCAGTCTGAATTGCATAACCACTTCTCCATGACACTATCAGCCATCATGTCTATTTGCAATTTTAATTATGCTCAGATGAAATGTCTGTTTACGAAGAGGTTCGACGAGATCAATAGGAAACATAGGAATGATGTATTAGTGCTATACATTTCGTAAAAGTGTCAGTTGTAGGTTGTCACGTTCATGTGTTACACTATAGGATACCCTCACCGATTATGTGGGCATAGCTGTAGTATTAGCAGAATTATTGAAAAGGCATTCAATGGCACCCCAAAGAACAGAAATTAAATGCCATTTCAGTCTGTTTATTAAATTAAACTAAACTATATTCACTTTCCGCTAAGACCGTGTGTTCTGCATCATGTTAGTTGATTCGAGGCAATCGGTAGGATGCCCTGGACTAGTGTTTCTTGAGTCACTGTTTCATCTTTTAAGAATTCATCGATTTATGCTGAGAACTAGATCTATTGTGATAAAAAAGAAAGCAGTCAATGAAATAAATAAATGAGACTTAACGAAATGGATAGACTCACTATGGCACAATATTCTACTTAGTCTGCAACCACTTTGGATGAGACATCTTAAAAGTAACCTTGTATTTTTCTTCAAGATTTTACGCAGTGTCCTTTACAGCTAGTGAGGAAGTTCGTTTGACGCATGAAGGTTGCTGCAGTCTTCACAATCTAGCCTACAGTGTTGAAATGATATCTTTTAGAATATCCCTCTGAGCCAACTTCGTCCCTATTAAATACTTGAAAATATGGAACCATCCTCCTGTTGACTTAAGAGCTTCGAGCTCAACTATCCAGTTTAGGCGTATGTCAGAAAGATTCCTATGCTCCGGCAAACTCCCCAACATCCAGGGCGACTCACACCTATGTCCCACAACGCTCAGTATAATAGGCCCCTTAAATGTATGAGGTGACATACCCTGATCGGTAAATCCATACTCTTCCCCATTTCATCCCAGGGACAATTAGGGCTGCTTCGTTAATTAAGTTGTTTACCTCCCACTTCTTACCACCACTAATGGAGACATCCTCAAATGTAGCCCCTCGAAAATAGCATTTCGAAAACACGGTGAATATCATATTTTTAATGAGAATGTACACATGAAACCTAGGACTATACATTCAGTAGTAGGCATGACACCATGTACATAAGTTAAAATTTACATATAATTAACATCCTTGTGCCTTGGTACTCCGCTCACTGTTTTCTTTATTCTTATTGTAAATCGAATCTTTGAAGGCTGCAATTAGATTGGAATTACGATATTTCATCAGTACTTTTCTTAAATATCACTACATCCATCTTCAAGCAACTCCTATGCAATCGTGCGACCTGTTAAGAACATCGTTATGGCACCATACGAAGATACTTCCAAGAAGCCTTTTGACACTTATTAATCCACTGTTTCATTGACTGGCGCCGTTTCGTCCATTGCAGCTGTAAGCAGCATACAAAAATACAGCAAAATACTTACAACTTTAGCTACAGAAACTGATTCTTTGAGTCGACCTCTAAACTCAAAGGAATGTTACCAACATTCACCGAGCTATTAAGCACAAGGCAGAGCAACATGGCGGCTACGGTGGACATAGGTCTAATTTAGCATAAACAAACAAAAGTAGATCGTTTCATCAGGAAGGTGATATATTGTTATCAGTATTATTTATTGTTGTCTATGCAGTATATCTTGACGTTTCAATGAACCCGTAGATGCATGTCCTTTGAAAAACATATTGAATCCGCCGTGGTACTTCGCTCAATATGTATGATCCTTCAAATTAAAGCAATTGAGCAATTTAGCCAGCATTACTTTTTTCGAGCAAGAAATCGCCGAGTTACCTCCTCATCTTATTGAGTGGTGATTTTACCTATTCATAAGACATGACTATCATTTCTGTCAGATAACTTAAAAATATATCAAAAATCCTAAATTTAGATTAAAGTGCTTCATTTATATGTGATCTGAAGTATTCTTTTTTCTTCAGACTGGGGATTTCCATTACCTGGAATGAAAAGATGTCCAAAAAATATTTTGTAAAACAAAATATTACCGGAGATTTTCAACCACTAACTGTTATAACTGTATCTGTAAAAATGATATGCACCTGTAAATTCAGGAATAAATTATTATTATATTACAGAGCTAAATATGGGAAGGTTACTGACTTCTGCATCAGCTTTGATGAGATGTTTAAACTTAGTCCATGTCCTATGATAGGGTAAGTTGGATTAGTTTGGAAGTAGGTTCAGGCTGGTCAGATAAAGACCTGATACCAGTCGATGAAGTCCATGAGTGTTGGTCTGAGTCATTTCTGGAGATGCAGACTGCCTTATTAGGGTCCTAGGGACGATAGGAATCAATGGTCGAGGACTTTTGGTGACGTGTCTGAGAATCGGTCACAATAAAGCATATGTATGAACAAGTTTCTCTGAGGAAGGTAATAAATAAATTGGAAGATATTCAGGTAAGTGTTGTCAAATCATTCTTCTGAAGGACTCAAAGCCTTTCTTCAGCTATCCTGCCACTGAATGAAATGAGACGCAAATATGCCGAAAGTCTTATTCTCACCTAAGCCTACTTTGTAAACATTAGTGGAGTACATAGATGCATTAGTGTTGTTCACCTGATGAACATTCAGTTTCCATGAGTTCGACAGTATGTTGGCGAGTTTTCACTTGATATATTGATTGCAGAATTCCGATACCTAGAGAAATGGCTCACATGCTTGAGATTGTGTATCAAATGGATGCGTTTGCAATAGGATAAACCACTGTTTACATTCAAGTGATCTCACTTATAATATACTGTTGAAGTAGATACAAGCAGTTCCTGACACTGAACAACACAGAGTCGCTTCAAATAGCTGAAGTCAACGACACTGCAGATGAATGATGCTTACCATACTCCTGTCTTCATGACATGATACTACTAGGCCCAGAAGGTCTCAGAGAACTTTGACACAAGTAGAATAATCAGTGGCAACAGGCACTTTTCTTTATATGCTTAGTTTTTCGAGAGAGTTGTTTGACTCCATATTAGATTTGTTTATTTGATATAAAGCGCACAGTGATACAGTATTATTTACTTGATTACGTTTCGAGCATAAATTATTGCTCATAATCATATCAATGTAATCACACTTCTTTCGATATCTGATTTTATAGTCCTGTCACCTGATTTTTCTTTGTTTTTTTGATTGGTAGTAAAGTTTTCCATATCTCTGGTATAGGTGTTGCGTCATTCCTATTACATGTGTTGTGTGTTGATTCGATGAACAAAGATTCAGTAATTAATCTCTCTCTCCACCTAGCTATATTAGACTTAAGTACAGTGGTTTTGTCCCATCCTATTGTGTGGTTGTGTGTTAATGAATGTAATGCAATGGCTGAGTGTTTTTCTAGGTTATTGATCTTATTGGGGTCTGCCGTTCTATGTTTAGCTAAATTCCTATGTTCTGTTAATCTAACTGACCCCGACCGGCTAGTTTGACTTCATAGTCAGTACATGGAATTTGGTAGATTATATTATTTTGCTTAATTGGTTCTATCGGATCTTTTAGCCGACAAAGCTTACCTCTAAGTGAGTTTGTTGGTTTAAATGCCACCCTAATTCCAACCTTGTTGAGAATCCTACGTATGGTTTCTGATGTTCCTTCCTTGTATGGTATCACAATAGAGGTGTTGATTTCCTTTCTACTTATGTTGTCACTATTATTTGTATTTGTATTAGTGTTATTATTTTGCTTCTTATGTGTCCGTGTGAATTTCTTAATAAAATGATGGGGATAATTATTAATTATTAACGCTTCTTTTATGTGTTTCAATTCCTTATTTAAGTCCTTACAATGACTAGTGAGTTTCTCAGCTCTGTTATTTAGACATTTGACTAAACCCGCTTTAACTGACACTGGATGAGATGACTTGAAGTCTAGATACCTGTTAGAATGTGTTGGTTTTCTGTAGACGGTAGTATCTAAACCACCATCTATCCTTCGTTTTATTCTGCAATCCAACATAGGTAATTCTCCTTGTTCATTTTCTACTTCGTAGTGAATTGGATTGCGTTAACTACTGAGTTTATGTGTGTCAAGAAACTGTCGATATGTTCCGATTTCAACACTGTAAATGTGTCATCTACATATCGCCACCATATCTTAGGTGTCGGATTATATGTTCGTAAAGCCATATCTTCCCAACTATCCATAAATATATCTGCTACTATAGGGGATATTGGTGATCCCATTGCTACTCCTTCTGTTTGTCTATATATCTTTCCCTGAAACTTGAAGACTGTCGAGGTTAAGCATAACTGCACTCCTAACATGATTTCACCAACCGATGCCTTGGTTCTTTGAGTAAGTTGTGAGTCAGTATCTAGTTGATTTCTGACTGCCTCCAGTGCCATATTGATTGGTATTTTAGTATAAAGACTTGTTACGTCAAAACTAACCATTTTTTCATCCTCTTCTATGTGCAGGTCATTAAGTTTTTGTTTCAACTCGTAAGAATTTACTAGTCTAGAGTTGGAACGGTCTCTAACAGGACGTAATACTGATGCTAAATACTTTGATATCTCATATGTTGGTGTGTTCCGGAAGTCAACTATCGGCCTAATGGGATAACCTGCTTTATGAACCTTAATAGTACCGTAAATTCTGCTAGGATTATTAGTTTTTGGCATTAAAGTAAACCATTCGGACTTACCTAGAGATGGCTTACTTTAATGCCAAAAACTAATAATCCTAGCAGAATTTAC